TGACTAGTTTCACGTCTTTGTTTACTGCTCATGAGTACGCGTGTGTCTAGCTCGGTGGTTGGAACGGAAGAGCGAATAGCAGCGGTTGTTCAAATGCGTGGTGTTTTTTTAGTTCTTTTGTTTCGCCACTAGGGGCGTGACGGTAAGAGTGCCGGAGGCGCCAAGCTTTGGCGTGACGGCCACATTACTGTCATACATATGTATATGCGCTCCGTGATGATAACATCTTGTGTCAGATTCAAATTCGGTATTGTTATTTTTATTTCGATACAAATCATATAGATTCGGTGTGATAACAAGACTAAAAAGAAAATCAAAATGATATCAGCAGCTTTAGAAAGTACAGAGGACAAAATTCAAGAAGGGCCAATTCGATGTATATTCTTTTCCGAATTTCATCACATAGCTGGACCAAAGATTACTTGTCAGGTTAGGTCAAGAGATTATATGTATAAAATATTTTATTTATTTAATTTAGCGTTTAGTTTCTGTATCTTTTCTTCTCTCTTTGTTTTATTTTTTTAAAGGTACCCGATAATTTTGTATCAAAAGATATATTTGATAATGTCAGCGTTTATATCATACCGAAGGCACAATTACAAAGAAGTACGATTACTGTGTAAGTTAAAAATGTTTATTAATGTTTTCAATCAATCAAACAAATTGAAGTCTCAATTAAAGAAATATGTTAATCGTTTTAGGACATTGAAAGATTATAAAATCTTAGGATTTCCTGTAAAAATAGATGATAAAAAATATGCAAGAAATGCTTTCTATTTTAATTTATGTTTTGTATGCGACTCAGAAGCTCGTACAGTTCATTATGAACCAGTAGTTAAGAAGATGTCAGATTTTCTGGTACTCATTTACCTTAACAAATTTATAGGTATAATAATATAAAAGAGTATATTTATAATGATATGTTATACTTAAGTAGAATATTTTATATTTCTTATATATTAGATGGCTTTAGAAATTGAGAACTGTTTCTTATCTACTTCCGATGATAAAAGTAGATTAGCAGAAATGCTGAGACACGTAATGCAGGAATTAAATTTGCATAAAATGTGTACACTGACAGGTAAGAATTGTATATATTTATTATTTTATTATATTATATGTTAATCAATTTCTTTTCAAGAGGGAACAATGACATCGCATTTAAAAGTAGTAAAGCTTGCGCCGGAACCTAAACCAGTCCTTGATCACCAAGTGCCAATATTCTTAGAAGGTAGAGAAGCGTTTCACAGTGATCAATGGGATTTAACTACTCAGCAAGTTTTACCGTATATAGATGGCTTTAATCATGTCGCTCGCATAGCAGCTGAAGCAGACGTAGAAAACAATTTAGTTAAGAGCTGTGTGCAGAATTTAGCGTAAGTTTATATGAAATAAATGCTTTTAACTTAAATGTTTTTACTTTAATCTATAAATAATATAGAATATATATTTTATTATTTTTTTAGATATTATAGCGTTGTAACTTTAATTCCAATATTTCAATACAGTAACGTTTATGCGGCGACGCCAAAATTAAAGCAATTAGCAGAAGACGTGAAATTACAAGAAAGATGTATTTCGTATGCATCTAAATCCTGTAAGTGCTACTACCTAATACATTAGTATGTTACAGCATAGTTTTAAGGAAAGATTATTACTATTTGTTATAGCGAGACAACCCGCATACCTCAGAGATATATATCGTACTTATGCAAGCATGACTCATAGCTGCAGTATGAGGGACTTATGTCAACGTTTGAATCCACAAAACTTGAGAATTAATGAAAGAAGATTGGTCCAATTTGGCCTAATTGAAGGTTTCATACGAAGGGTTTACAAGGTGTGTTCTTCCGTTTAAAAAATCTTTTTCTTACATAGATTTGGTTGAAAGAGAGAGCACGCGTATGCAATTATATGAATTTCAGTATCCCATACTACTACCTGGAGTACCGTATAACGAAGAAACACGAAATAATCCTGTTTATAAATATTTTACGGGAACATATAATTTGGATGAAATTTGCTGTAGTACAGGTCAAAGCGTAGCACAAATAGAAGAAATCGTTGAACGCGATCCAAATATCGTTATGCTATGGAAATAATTTAGTTTTACAAATTATATTTATTACATTATTAATATTTTCTATAATACGGATATGTACAGATAATGAATAAGAAATTTTTTCATTATAATAGGTGTAAAATGTTAAATATGCATAAGGACAGTATTTATTATCAAATAAGAATTCTTTTACAAGATGTATATAGATATATAATGCTATATAGATATATATAATATATATATATATATATGCATTATTTAATATTTTCGATCATGCGTTTAACTTCATTAACGTATATTTCGGGTACCTTGTTCTCTCTCATTTCATTACATTTTCGTTCCATAGCTTCTTGTAACTTTTTTTTACGCATAGCAGCTTCCGCACGAATTGCCAATCCTTCTTCAAACATCTTTTGCCTCGCTCGAATGCGTTCTCTTTCCTTTTCGTTCACCTATTGCAGAAATAATAAAATTTAAATGAACTTATAATACAAAATATATAACATAAGTAACTGCGCAAAAGGTTTGAAATATTTTTAACGATCAGTACGCCGGCCGACCTGCTTTAATATCTCGTTACGATGATTAAGAGCTTCTTGGTGTTTCTTCTCGCGGTTCTTTTTATCGCGGCAAAATGCCTCCTTTTGCACACGTAGAATTCTTTCAAATTCACGTTTTTCTCTGTCAATTTCAATCGCTTGCATCGATCTTTTGTTTTTTATTTGCTCTTCTCTTCCTTTTTTAAGATCCATTATGGTTTCTATCTTTTTCAGAGCTTCCTCCTTTTCTTTTCGTCTCCATTCTCTTTCTACTTCTTCTTGAACGCGGTCTGCATTTATTGCATCAATTTGTATCTAGAATTTGAATAATTGTGTTGTATTCTAATACCATTTGATTTCGTTATTATAGTTTATATTGAATATTCACTTGAAGATCTTGCGTGTGCTTTGCCTGTACAGCTAGCCTTTCTTTTTCTTGTTCTTTACTTAAATTTTCCAATCTTTGCTTTTCACTTAATTGAATATTTCTTTCTTCTTGAAATTTTTGATATTCTTTTATCCTAAGAAAGTTATATGAATTTAATTAGCATATTTATTTAACGTGAAGCAACAAATTGTAGATGTTACCTTAAATCTATTATTTTATTTTCTTCTTCTTCCATAGCTTTGAAATGTTTCAATTGTTCATTCACTTCTGCTAGATCTCGACGAATTTTAGCACCTTCAGCTTCTTTGCGATGTAACTTTTCCATTTCTGCTAGTTGCCAAGTTATGTTATTCATATTAATTAGCTGGCTCTCCTCTTGTTTTCTTTCAAATTCAAGTATTCGTTGTTCTTCGTTCTCCGTAATTTGATCCTTTAAAATCTTAGCAAATACTTGTTTCTTATAAATTTCTTCTTCTTCCTTCTTTAAATCCTCTTTAATGGCCCATCTTCTTTCATTTTCCATCATATCATTTAAACGCTTCTCTTCTTCGGCTAATTCTTGTTTGATTAATTTCTTTTCAGCCATCTATAAAAGAGCAATTTTGTACAATACGCATTTTGTTCTATTGTTTATTACAATATAATTAAATCCTTTAATGCAATGTAATACCTGCATATCTCTTATGACTCTACATTTAGTTTCTAAGATAAGCCGATTATACTTTTGAATTTCCTCTTCCTGCTCGAGCTTTAAATTGTAAGCTCTTTCAAGCAAATGCATGGTCCTTTTTTTGGCTTCTTCCTCTATCTCATTTAACATTTTGTCTTTTTCGCGTGTTTTTGTCAGGTCCATTTTATGAAAAAGTTCTTTACGTATCATGCTATCTTTGATTAGTTTCTGTTTTTCCTCTTCTACTGCTGTAATAGCCGCTTGTTTCTCTTCTTCAGTTAAATAACGACCATGCTCTTTAAATTCCTTATACTCTTTGCTTGTAATAATAACTGGTCTTTTTGATCCGATAAAAGCGGTATCCTGTTTCTGCTTTCCATTTTCAGTTCGTACCTTAACTGCCTAAAATTAGTGAAAGAATTTAAAATTCAATATTATATTGATAACCGATCATTTGAAAGATAGAAAAATGATATATTTTTCTTACTCCCCGTTCTCCTAATATATTAGATTTTTTTAAGTTTGCCGAGACTATACCCGTTGTACATTTTTCGTTATCGTGATATTTTGATTTTCTGTAAACGAACGCTTGTCTTCGTAAAGGATTATCTGTAACACTTGAGATCTTGTAAGTTTTCGACATGTTTTTTAAAAGGCTTGCCAATTAACACGTTTTTACGTATTAATCATTTGAAAGATAGTTATCTAACAAATTCAATTTGGATTATTTTCTTTATAACATACATATATTTGATAATACAATTAGATTATCAATTCGTATGAACATCCGGCACGAAATGATCCTATTATCCAGAATGGGAATACTATTGAAAAATAGTTAAAACCATTGATAGGTGTGACAACACGTTCGTTTGTTCGATAGTTACATGTGGATACGTGGTCTTATCAAAAGATTAATCAGCGATTCTTGTGAAATCGATTTAACATTTGAACGGGAAATTAAAAAAAAAATAAATAATTAATAGATAGAGATGTTATCGTCGTCGTAGAAAATCATTTTCTATTCGTTTACTCGATTACATTGTTCAAAGAATATAAAAAATTCTTAAATTAAAAGAGGATTCAAAAGCGCCAAGTATTTCGACGAATGAGCTTAGTCGATAAGTCCTGATGACTCTGCTGCGCAGTGGCGCCACTACGCAGCAGTGCGCGCGCTCGTTCGGCTTACGCGCCGCTCACACTTGATTGGTAGAATGTGACGGGTAACGCGTCACATTCATTCTTCGCGCGCCGTTTCAATCGCATCGTTTGTCAACAATTACCGCCAAATTCAAATCTTTTCATATTTCGAAATAATATTTTTGTTTGTTTGTCTTTTTATACGGAATAAAGAGAAAGAAAGAGAGAAAGAGCAAGAGAAGAAAATAAATAACGAACGTAAAAAAGAAATTGTTGTGTTCTTTCGGTTATAGGTGGTGGACGAAAGAAAGAACAGCGCACGTGTATCTATCACATAAAAGGGTTTACTTAATAATCACCGATGGAGAAATTATATTTATGCTTATTATCCCGCAACGAGGAACCTACTTGGACTGTTATTATTGTGAGTAATTTCAAAACTCTAACATTCCTAATATAGATAGTTTATTCAAAATTAGCGCCTTCTTGTCGATAAGTTAACAATCGTTTCGATACAAAACAGAATTTGAAAGACAATAATAAGCGTTCTTTGTTGGAGAGAAATAAAACAGTTTATAATAGAATTTGTCGACAAGTTGAATATTAATGTAAAGTAAGATAAAAGAGTTACTTTGGAACGTTCCTTGTAGACTGGCGACGAGTAAGACGGCTAATACGCGATGGCGTGACAGCAACGTATTCGATCAAAAATTAATAGCAGTCTGTGGGCGGGTCTGAAAGTTGGTACAATGAAACTTTTCAAAACAACGCTTTGCATATTTAATGCGATAACATTGTATTCCTTGTATCGATGGATATTAACGTCGTCGCGTGCATATTTTTCTATTCCTTTGTAAAGAAAATGACTATCAGAATACATATTTCTTTGAACTAAAAAAGTACAAGAAATAGTCTATATACGCGTATATATCGACATATTTGTATATTATTCGATGTTGATATCTATGACTCTTACGTAGCGAATTTTAAAAAGTAGACAGACAGTTCAAACATATTCGAAATTGGAAGAGTTTTCAAGCATTGTTAAAAATTCTCATTTATTCGACGAAAATAAATATATTAATATTATTATAAGAAAATGCTTAATGTGTTAGTTCGTTTCTCAAATGCAGTTTATATTTTCGAATATATCGCCCGCGGTAATATTATTATACGTTTTTTTTTATTGTGTTCTATTGACTAGGAAAAGATAAACAAGTTAGTTTGTCGTCTCCTGGTTTAGTACTTATTAATGAAAATGCGAGCTCGATAGGAAGCAATCGATAAGCGTCCAGCTGTTATTTAAAATGCATCTTACACGGTATGGTGAAAGTGAGACGTAGTAAAGGTGTACGTTTTATTTTTACATTTTAAATGTAAAATCTAAAATTACTTTAGATGATCGATAGATAGACCGATCGATCGATCGGTCGACCGAGAATACGAACGAAATAGGTAAAGTATGTTATTGAAGGTGCTCGTTATCGTTACAAGTTCATTGACTTCCACGTATCTTCTACAGTATCTTCTACAGTATGCAGCTTATTTTATGAAAAGTCGGTTTTTTTTCTGTTAATGAACAATTGTTTAAGCAAACCGATGCATAATCGTATACATATGACAATAAAGAACAAAGAAATTAAAGGAGATATTTGCTATTATTAAACAGACCGTATGCACCCGTATAGGTGGGCGAAAAAAAGGGAGAGGCAGGAAAAGAATCGCGATGGGAATTAAGCGTGATCGCAAATAATGAGAAATAGCAAGTTTTATCTATCGTATTATTCATATTGCACGCTAATATATATGTTACAAATATACGTCATTTATTTTGAAGATAATCGAAAATAAAAAGAAACTCGATACATATTCTCGAATCGATGTAGGTATATATATCACGTAACGCGTAATATCCCTCGTCGGATAATATCGGAAAGTGATCTAATCGGATGCAATCCCTTCGAAAAAGTGTCTTCCTTTATAATTTATTATACCACTTGTCTGTTTCCCACTTTCTACTTGAACCGTATATCACCGTATACCACGTATTGTGTCGTTTTGCATCCCAGGTCTACTCTCCGGATCGCTCGTGCCGTTTCGTGCGAATGAATAAGTCAAGAGCGAAGCGTCCCTCGCAAGACCATTTCTTCCCCCTTTGCATAAGTTTCTTACAACTCCTTACCGATCCTCCTCGAGGAAACAACTAACAAAAAACTCGAAGAAACGATCATCATCATCATTGTTCGCTAACTGAACCGCCTTCTTTTTTTTTTTCTTTTTCAATTGAAAACTAACGCGAGAGAACCATCCGTTTCTTTATCTTCGATGATTGAAAATGTATTCCCAGTTTGTTGGGCGCAACTCCTTAGAACTTATCCGCCGATCGAATAGGGAATAAATAATGAAATATTTATCGAACGTTCATCAATTACTATTCGATTATTTGATAAAGAAGAGTTAGGTTGTAACCCTTCCAGCAAACATGATTTCCGCCTGCGCCAACGATAGAGCGTTTGCTTGCCGTTGGCCAATTAAAATCGCCTGTTGCGTATCAAGGGGTTCCATAAGGACAACATTACGGGGTGTTAAAAAGTGGGGGTTGTTAATTTTTCTTAGATCTTTCATTTTGCCGTCGGATACGCGCCAGGACTTTGTCATCAATTTTTGCTCTTCGTTGTTAAAAAAGTTCGAACGTAGGCGCGAAATTCGCATTACTCGATTACTATTTCCAATCGAATTGGTGCCTTACAATAATAATCCAATTTTCTATATTATTTGATGAAAAATTGGTGAGCTTAAATGCGCGGATTTCTTGGAATGCCTGACGTAGATAAGAGGTACGGAAGGAAGGTCTCCAAAAAACGATCTTATCTTTCCAAATTTCCTCGTAATTCTTTTTATTTGACTGGATTAGGCTCAAAAAGAAAGACCGTACATGAGCAATCGATCGTCGTGGATTTAACTAATGACGATGTTAAACTAACGCGGGAAAAAAGCGAAACGAGTGAAGGTAGTTCAGGTATGAAATAGATTTATCCAAATAAATATTAATAATAATAATAATAATAATATGATTAACATCATCCGTTTATAATATTATGGTACAATTTTAAAACTTTTATTGTGTTAATTAATTGCTATTTTCTCTAATTGGAAATAAAATTGAAACGAAATGACTCATCGATTTTGATTGATATTTTATTAATATCGTCACAAGGAATTGTATTATAAACAGTAGTTGTATCTGTTACAGAAGTTTGCGCTATGATAGCTGACAGTTCGAGCAGATTTAATCGCGATAATAAAAAAAAAAACGGTATAGCTAGGGCGTTACGTGATCGAGGACCATGCGTGATCCCGGTTCAACCGAATCATTGCCTTCCTATACATCCAGCACCACCGATTCCAACTCGAGCTGTACCGATACCAACATCTCGAAAATCTCAAAGTTCACACGCGATTGAAACTTCGATTTTAAACACGATCGATGTGGAATCACCCGCAAAATCGAGGATTTTCGAAATAAACGCCGATTCGGAGGAAGAGCAGAGCGTTTCTTTTATCTATGAACGAAATCGAGAAAAAAAGACTTCCTCGAAAGAGGCAAACTCTTGTCCTATCAAAATCCTAGATCCTGTTAAACGAAAAATCACTGATGACAAATCTAAAGAACGAGGAAAGGATGCTACGAAGGATTCGAAGAAAAAAAAAAAATCCTCCGACGTTAAATTAAACGATGGATTCAACGAATTATATACGAATGCTACTACGAGTAACATCGATAAAGAAAAGAATAGAGAAGTTTTGGATGATACAAAGTGCGCTACGTCGATCGTGGGATCGACAACAGAAATTCATTTTGGGAAGGATAAGATCGTTCCTCCTCTTCGATTAAAAAAAGTCGTTCGTCAAGAAGGTTCATTGAAAAAAATCAAACAAAAACAAAAATTAATCATTTCATTATTACAAATTACAATTATTCCATCGTGTTTAATTAGAGTTATTGTCCGTAGGAAAAAATGGCGATCGTGGAAAAGCAGAAATACCCTCGAAAAGAGACAAGGAGGCCAATTATAGAATAGTCACTGGTGCTACCCCTCGTCCAGACTCTCAATCTATTCCGACGGCTTATGAATATTGGACCAGAGGTTATCATTTCGATGATGATAATAATTTTGATGTCGCATCGACGAGTTCAATCCCTCGGAACACAGTACGTCGATCTTCCCTCAAGAGCGACGATTACAAATTAAAATATAGACGTAATAGGCTAAGGCGAAAACTCAAGGAATTACAGGACAAGGCATTGGATCTATCTCGGGAGATAGCTAACAAGCCCACCAATATTGTTGATTCTAGTCCGCAACGTAACACAAGGCTCAGACAAATGATGAACTGTTACGAGAAACAAATAGAAAACGTTTCAAAATTACTTAATAAATTGTACAGTGTTAATCCTCCATCAAACGAGTTCGTAGATTTAGAGGAAAATAAGAAAGAGCATCGGTGGGACGATGCATTCGTTGGAAACTTTTCTCCAATTTCTTCGCCGGAACCACCAAAACTCTCACCCCGTTCCCCGATAGATTATCCTAATAAGTCACCGGATAGTATTAGAAATAGTCCACCTGTATTGCCGAAAGTTTCTATAAATATTTCATCCAATTTGGATATTCAGGACGAGCATGATGCAGAGGTTATTATTCGTAAATCGTATGATTTTGAATATTTTACCAAAAGTTGGGTAATAATAGTTTCTCTATTTTGCAGACCGTACAATTACCAGACGAATCGACTTGGATCGCGTGCGATAATAATACAGCAGAAATCTCATCTATGGCGGATAGTTTTTGCGAAGACACGACTAATCAAGAATGGGAGTCTAATAATAATAATATCATCGATTTAGGACATCGATCGACAACACCGCCAATTCCTTCCTCAACTTCTATCGATCCGTGTTCCTCGGAAAATGTTGAAAATATTGAAAACGGGCAAGTATTTGTTGATGGTATTGAAGAAGTTGTAGAAAAAGATAATATTAAAATAGTGCACGAGAAAAAGGAGACGATGAAAGAACTCTCCAAGACAATAAAGGTCGGATCGTCGAATCATTCGATTGCCAAAGAAAAAACAGAAATAAAGGAACAAGAGGCACGCGATGCTGACAGCGCTATTAACATAAATCTCATCGAGGGTCCTATAATAAGTTCTGTCTCTGGAGGTACCGAGGTTCCATCGCACGTCAGGTGCGATCAAGTAAACGCAACCCAGCCAATGATGGTACCAATAACGAAAACGAAAATTTCAACTTCTGCCGACATGATGAACATTTTACAATTAGAATCTAATTATTATGACTCTACGCTCGTAAAGAAAAATGTCTTGGAAACTAATCAAATAGAAGGTTCGAAAAAAACGCAGAAGGTATACAGCTGTAGATAATAACGCTTAAGCATCCCGATTGCGATGGACTATTCTAATTGATACAAAATCTTAGGTAACGTCGAGTACAACGCAATCCAGGAAGACCGACAATGTTTCCGTAGCTCCGACTTTCAACCAAGTAGAATATCCTTTTACAGATCAACATTGTTCATCTCAAAGTAGTAATGAAAATCGAATAATGACCGAACAATTTCCTACGCTTGGTAATTGGGTAGCCAAAATGTCGAAAAAGCAAGTTTCCAAACAGAAATCTAAATTACAAACTGTGGGAAATAATATAGGTATCATTCCAACGGAAGAATCTACGCGCGTAAGTAGAAATACTTGGCAAAATGTGTTCAAGTTTAATCAAATAAAAGGATTTTCTTGTTTGTATTTTATTTTATCAGACTTCAGGGTTGGAGACGCACAAAGTATCGTCAAACGACACCAATATCACCAATAGTAACAATGCGTTAAACCTTACTACTCCACAATGGAATACGGAAAGATGGCATCGTCAACAACATCATCAACAACGTCAGCAACAGCAATTATTTCAACACATGGCTGCTGCCGCAACTCCTCAGTCCCTTCCGTCTACGACGACTCTGAATTCAGGAATTTGCACTCCGCACTCGACGACTCATTTTTATCCGAGTAACTATAACGTAAGTAACCTAAGACAAATAGCAAATAAGAATGATAAAAAATAGTAAACGAAATTCATTTCGTTCTCTTTTATAGATTGATCCATACACCGGAGCAACGTTTAGTTATCATTCCGCATTGTATCCTGTTTATGGCGGTTACCCGTATCATTCTCGTTTACATCCGGGAACGCCTTTGACGAGTTACCACCACTTACCTATGCAGAATCCTCTTAATTCGTCCTTACGTCAATTGTCGCACGTCGACAAGCACTTGACCTCTTTACAGAACGCAAATCGAAATTTTACTTCTGATATTTTAAAATACTCCGGATCGCTTCCCGCCGCCGCAGCTGCTGCTGAATTTCAGCCATCAAATGACTTTGGTTTCGATCGACTCAGAGCAACAACTTCTACCGATAATCACAACGCAGAAGCGAGTTGTCTCTCGCCGTTATTGCTAGCATCTTCGGCTTTATCCTCAGGGACGCAACAAAATTTACCACGTATGCCTCTTAACGGATATCCAGCTGGCAATAATCAATATGGACGCAACAGAATAATACCGGACGTTGTAGCTGCGGCTGCAGCTGCTGCAGTAGTCGCGGCAGCTTCTATCGGAAGACAGCGTACTTCTTTAACTCCTTATAGCAAATCTGGAAGCACAGCCATGAATGCCGCTGTTATGGAAGTTGATTCTACCCGATTAACTTCTAATACTTCAAATAATCGTACTCGAGAACATCTTTTGTCTCATCAAGGACAATCATCCATGGACGTTGGAACAAAAGAACCGCAATGGAACGGCGCCGAATATCGTCCTATACCTAATTTACTTTTAGACAGATTACCTTTTGTTAGACCGGAACACGATTTTCCTACAACATCTATGCTTTCTAGTAATATTCAAAATCCACCCGTATCTATACCGACGGTTCCTCTTCCGCAAATGTCCAAAAAAGTTTCTAGAAACGTTGAAAGGGACTGCGAAACTCCGCATCTCGGTAAAGTAAACAGAAGTCCCGATACTTTGAGTAATCTTAAATGTTCCAATTGTGGCATAGCTGGATCGATGTTTAAATGTCTCGGATGCGAGGTAGCTTTTTACTGCAATGAAAGATGTCAAGCTCGACATTGGAGCGTTCACGTTGAAAAATGTCCTAAAAAAATGCCAAAGTTAAAAAAAGTAACATAAATTGTATATTCAATATATTTCTCCGTAAATTATATTTACCGTGATCCATATGTTTTATAGTTTGCAAACAGGTCATCATATCGTTACACCAATTCTTCTTATGTCTTTCAAATTTAAATTATCTTACATTATTTTACTTTAATTCTTGATACGGATATACAAGAAATATTATTGCATGTGGTAGGTGTCGTTTTTGTAAAACAAGATTTTCGAAGTTCTCAAATTACGCTTTAAACTATAAAGTAAAATCTTCTTGTTTGTTCGTTCTTGCATATATGTGCGTATACACTAATGTGCACACATGCACATTTATATGTACCATTGTTATGCATTTTAAATAATTCTCGCAAAGAAAAACAAACAACGTATAAGATTAAGTAATAGTATAAGACGTATAAAATGTTAAGTAATTAAGTACAAAATAACGATGCGCTAGTCAATTATTAATGTCACGAAGTGACCTTTTATATTTTTCCCTCATAAAATTTATATATATTTATACATATAATATACACACGTAGTCCCATTTTTTAGTTTTGACAAAATTATACTTTTGTGTAATAACTTGTATAAAATTAGAAAGTGAACCCTGATCTTTACGTATCAGGTTTCTTATTTTACTTACTATTAGTAATCCATTAAATATTCACAATTGATATGATAATAATATCATAATAGAAAATATAAGATAACGAAAAGATTAACGTTTTAATGATTATAGTTTACTGGCAGTTTGGTTCTGTTGCTGTACAATGTTATTCAATAGTTTGTGAGCTTCATTATAGTAAGGTTTAGTTTCCTGCTGTACTCTTTCCATCCAAGCATTGATACGTGGCCATTCTACGCGTGGATCGTATCCAGCTAAGCCTACGGTTTAATATATAATATCTATTCTATTATAGCTCTATTATAACTATTTTATATAAGAAGAAATTTACAAATTTGGATCGCTCATAAACTTACGTAGTTGTTCCAATTCGCAAGTTGCAAATATATCGCTTATACTAATTTTATCGCCCGTAAGAAATAATTTGTCCTTTAGCCAAATATTTTCTATCAAATCAAGGCAAGCTAACATTCGCTTTTTACAGTTTTCTATTTGTTCAGGTTTAGATGGCTTTCCTGTTTGTAAAGGTTTCAGATACTACAATAAGAAGAAAAAAATAATAAAATTAGAAAATATTCATTTGAAATTTCTTATAGATTCCAATTAGAGCATATTAATATTATTGTTACCGTAACAAAAAAATATGATGCACAATTTATTCTAGTATTTAAATGTTGCCATTCTAAATACTCATCGACTCTGGCTTGTTCTTTAGACGAAGACGGATACCAATGTTGGGCTACTTTGTATTCTCTGCATAAGTATCTCGCAATCGCAATACTACAAGTAAAACCATTCGTCATTATTTATTATCTGATTAACTAAATTGTCCAATCGAACGTACCTTTCTATCAACTTAAACCCATTATGTTCTATAACTGGAACTTTTTTAAATGGATTGAAGGCCTCAAATTCGGGAGTTAAATTTTCAAGTTTTGTTAGCTTTATTGGTTTTGCCTCAAATGGTATACCAGCTACTTTTAGAAAAATATATAGTGCTCTTGATGGTTGGGAAAATAAATCATAATACAACTTAAGACCAGTCATTCTTCTTTCGGAGATTTTATCAAGAATTTAAGACAAAAATCTACGCTCACCCAGAACTTATATCGAGATTAAACAAACTGGAGAAGTTAATTCTTTTAACAGAAAAAACTGCTTCGTCAATATCCCATGTAATAGATAGAGAAATACAAAAAGAGAAAAAAAACTTTTGAGATGGACATGAGGAAAAATAAATGTGCAATCATTCGACACAACGTTTTTTAGTCAAAATAAAAAAATCGTATTCAATGCGATATTCGACTTAACAAATTGCAAAAGTCGACGATCATAGATCGCTATTATAAAAAAGCATTAAAAGGTTAAATAAATTAAAGGGCAATATAGAAGACCGTCTAAAAAGAGGGAGACACCGTCGAGAGTGAAAAGATGGCGGATTGCGAAAAAGAGGAGGCTCACAATCTCGTAAGTTGTTCACCTTGTTTAACATTTATCTAATCGCTTAATCTACCTCGCTTTCTCTCATTTCTGGGAGATAATGAACCTTATCTATCGCTTATCAATTACACGTATTTTAGCTAATCAATAAATCATGTTTATAAGGTTATGTCGTTCGATTCGATATACATACAATACATACTCCATTTATGGAGAATTTTAAGTCTTTTTCATTTTTTTAATTTTTATTTTAGCAAATGGAGTTTGAGTGGGTCCTACACGAAGAAGTCCATTCTTCGTTATCCCAACTTCGCAATATCTTAATGGTTAGTAGTGTATTATAATAAATTGTCATTATCAGTTTACTATTATAAATTTGTATGGAAGATTATTAATTTAGTGGCATAGATGTAAGACGTGTGAAAAAGTTCAATGATATATGTATCATTTTGTAGGAATGCGCACAGCGATTTCCATTAGCTGTTTTTGGTAACGATCAACCAGACAAAACGGACAGATTTGTATTTGCAGCTCCGCATGATCAAGTAAAATGTGTTGCTGTACTTACCGGTGATAGTATCACAAATGCAGTAAGTAATACACTAACAAAGTTACATTCATTTTTATATTGTCGAGTAAACGTTAAAATTTAACAATTAAATTGTAGAATATGATAACTGAATATTTTCTCTTAGGAAGTTAATTTCAAAATACAACGTCAACCAAACGTTAACATGAGAACGAGTATAGTAAATGAGCATCCATGGAAATTGCAACAAATACAAGATGCTGCTAATCATTTGCAGCAAGCTATCGCGCATATCGATAATGTCGATCGGCATTATCTTTTCAAAACATCAGACGAAGTTATGCATGTACTAGGTAATATATTAGGTAGTCTTCAAAGAAGTAGAACCAGCTTAATTGTTCCTAGAAAGAAAACCATCGACGATCTCATTAAAAGTCGTAATATGGTAAATAAAAGTTTAGATAAATCTTTCTATCTACTTATTGATACGCATAATAAATATAATCCAGTTGCAATATATTTCATTTTCAGAAATCTCTAAGTCCTAATCTTCCAGAGAATTTAGCTATTAGTTTTTACATACAAAGCTATAAACTGGTATTAGCTGTCTATCAGTTAGAAAATGCGCACGGCAGCGTTAAACATGAGACTCAACAAGCGGAATGCAGTGTACCATGGTTAAACGATGCATTGGTACTTCTAACCATAGCATTGCAACTCTGTCAACGTTTAAAAGATAAGGTCTGATATTATAATATTATTTTATTCATTTAACAATTAATTTTAATAGTTTCCTTTTGTTTGTTTATTTTTCAGATTTGCGTATTCTCCTTATACAAAGATTTTACAGTAAGCACACATGCTCCTTCAACTACCAGTTGGTAGCCTTAGATACGATTTTGGCTTTAAGATGCTGTATTATAAAAATGGTGCTATATCAGGATTATTGATTCTAGCTAGTTGCTAGTTCAATAAGTCAATAGTGCTTGTTAAAGTCATCGTACGGACAGAAAATGACATTTCTTTCGTTGTTTTAATCGTTATCGCGCACGGACATTGTTCTTACAGAATTTAGAAGTAATTATTTATAGTGCGTGCCTAGAATAGTATTATAGTAACTTAATATGTCACTGTGAAACGTTAGAGGGTGGAGGTGTGAAATCAAATATTGCATTTCTATGTTATTTTGGATGCTATTTAAATCTTACCAACCACATACAGCAAAAAGAGGAAACTCAAATATTTTGCCAATTACGTGTGTGCCTAAACTTCTTGTATGTTGTATCGTAATCATTCTTTCCCTTACGTAATTTACCTATGCCCAAACGTTGATGTCTCAATGATCGCATCCAAGTTGATACAAGTGTCGTCTAATGTTTCTTTTAGGACATTTTTTAAATCAGTATTGTCTTGCAAATCGGGTGCGTGTAAACAGAATTTTGACAATTCTCTAAAAAGAAATATTATATAACAAATAATATATTAATTCTCTCATAAAAATATTGCAAGTATTGACGGTACTGTTCCAAATAAAAACATCTATTATTGTTGTTGTTATTATTATTATATATATATTATTCTTATTATTATTATAATTATAATATAGTTGTGTACATATATACATATAAGATGTACTATAAACGTATTCTCATTATCGAACATTATTCACAATTAACTGTGTATTACTAAACTATTCTTTTATTCGGTTTTCCTTTTTTTTCTTTCGATAGAAGAAAACTGATAATATCATTGTATACCATTTGTTATTCAATCTAATTTATTGAATTTAGCTTTGAACTTAGCTTTGGATTTGTTTGTAACAATCGAATAATGATGTTTCAAATTATTTGTCAAAATTGAAGAGAGAAAAAATGATTAGGAAATAAAATAAAATTAAAAGAAAAATATTTCTTCTGCATAGGAAAAGTACGACATAATGAATATTTGGACACGTTTCTCAAAATGTCTATTCAAAATATAGCAATAGCCATTAAGGTAATAAAATTTTCTCATAGGGTCAATTATTACACGCTGATTTGATGTTATTTGCAATTATTTTGATATTATATTTCTTATTGATAGATAGGATATATGTTTGCATGGACTTTTATTGCCAGTTATTATTTTTTATGGAGAGCAAGTGAAGCGGCAGAAGCAATAAGTTACGCAGATGAATCTGGCTGGGTTCCAGATGGAGCTTATGCTTATAATATGGCACGAGAAGAACATGAACATACATTAGCTGAAGAATAACATAGATCTAATCTAATCTAAAGGTCTTTTAAAATATATATTTATATCTGTGAAATAATATTGATTTAATGAAATAATAAACATTTGTATACTACGTTCTATAATGTTGAGAAACAGTCATAGAAATTTAGGATTCTACATTAGATGCATGGTAAAGAAATAAAAAATTATAAACTTATATTATTTAGTCATCTTTTTATCTGTTTACATTTTCATAAATAAGAATTCTCTATTAAAAATAATTAACAAAAGTTTATATACATAATAATCAATTCTTTTTCTTTAAGCTTTCAGTTCAGTTTCAGATGAAACAGGTACAGGCTCACCTTGGTTCATTTCTGTGTCATTTTTTAATTGTTCTTGCCACATCGTATGATAAACTCCACTGTATGATATTAATTCTTCGTGTCTACCTCTTTCAACTATTTCACCATTTTTCAAAACCAATATTTCATCCGCGTGTATTATTGTAGATAATCTATGTGCTATAATGATGGTTGTACGATTTGTACAAACTCGATATAATGCTGTTTGAATATTACGCTCTGTATGAGTATCTAACGAGCTCGTTGCTTCGTCCAGAAGAATTATTTTAGGTGCCTTCAAGATTGTTCGTGCTATAGCAACTCGTTGCTTTTCACCTCCGCTAAGACGAAGACCACGTTCGCCGACCTAATGAAATCGATTATGTATGATTAATATTAATAATTTTTAATATATAATATAATTATTTTTTATGATAATTAAATAACAAGTAGACCTGGGTTTCGTAACCGTTTGGAAATGTTAAAATTTTATCGTGAATGTCTGCATTTTTGGCCGATTCTATTATATCCGCTTCTGGAGCATCTATGCGACCATATTGAATATTATATTTGATCGTATTGTTAAATAGAACTGTATCTTGAGGTACAACACCTACAGTTAGAAATGATAGAAAATTTGAGTAATTCTTAATATTATTTCTATTCATATAGAAATATTTTTATAGTAATTGAATATTACCTATAGCATTTCTCAACGAGCTTTGTTTAACAGTTTTGACATTTTGACCGTCTATTAATATAGAACCTTCTTCTATATCATAAAAACGGAATAGTAACCGTAATATAGTTGATTTTCCAGCACCAGAAGGACCAACGAAAGCTATTACTTTTCCTGCGGGTGCAATGAAACTAATATTTCGTAATACCACTCTGTCTGGAGTATAGCTGAACGAGACGTTGGAAAATTCTACTTGTCCCCGTTTAACTTGTAATTCTCCAGCACCGGGAGCATCTATTATTTCTTGTTCTTCTTTAAGAAGATCAAACATATTTTCCATATCGACAAAATTTTTTTGTATAGCTCTGTTAATAAGAACAAATAGAAAATGAAAATCTATGACATAATAATCAATAATTTAACTCATATCGAGAAAAGTAAATGAAAATGGTTTACCTGTAATAAGTACCAAACCAATTAAGTGGGACGTAAAGTTGTATTATGTAACTCGCAAACAAAATATAATCACCAATCGTTAATCCTGTACCAGCTACAACCTAGAAGAAATATAAATTCAAAAATAACATCTAACTTTTCGTAGATAAACTTTTGATAAATTCATTTCTCACCATATGAAGACAAAGTAAAGAACCAGCTAATAAACCACAACAAATAATGATATTTTGCAAAATATTTAAGATGTTTAATGTAATCATAGACTTCCATTCTTCAACTTGGAAATCTAAAATAGCTTTTTTATAACAATCTACTTCATAAGATTCTGCCCCATAATATTTAACTGTTTCAAAATTTAGTAAACTATCCACACTGCGTGCTTTTTGCGCGTTATCCGCTAAATTCATTCTTCTTTGAAATTTAACGCGCCACTCGGTGACCATAATGGTAGCAGCTAATTTGATTCAAATGAAAAATAAAATTTCCTTAATAATATTTCAAATCTTATGGTTATTAAGTAATAGAAGAAATTCGTAAGATATTACCAATATAAAGACTCATTGTCAAAAAGACGATTAAGCCAAACCATTTGTTAAAGAAACTTATGAAAAATACAATAGCGATAATGATATCAACGATTGTTGGTATAATTGAAAATAAAATATAATTTAAAAGGTTATTTATAGAATCGGTACCACGATCCATGACTCTTAATACTTCTCCAGTTTTTCTACCAAGATGCCAACGTAAACTTAATCCATGCAAATGTCTAAAAATAATATATTATATTGAAAGCTGATCATTAAATATATATTTTTTTGTAGGAAAAATTAAAAAGAAATATATACTTGAATAATTCAAGCTCCACTTCTCTAGTAGTAAATTGTTGAATACGAATCCATAAAAATGATCTCAAGTTATTTAATAATCCCATTCCACCAGTTCCGCCGCCTTGTAAAAATTTAAAAGCGACGTATATTAAAATTAGATCCCATCTGTAAAAAATACAAATATATTAGATTAGAAAGAAATCCTACATTCTGTATATAAAGAATAATATATCATACCGAAACTCATTAGGTGCAACTTTTAAGCAATCTACAATTTTTCCATTATAAATGGGTACATATAAATTTATTAAACGTCCCAACATAAGCAGACCGAAACAAAATATAACTCTCAATTGAAGAAGAATATCTGATTTTGGCCACAGGAATGGAGCTAAAACTTTAATTTTATACCATGCATTTTTCCATGTAGAAGCATTATCCCCGGGTCTCTATAAACATAGAGACAAACACATATTTATATATGTTAAATATTAATTATCAAGAAAATCATTCCTTCTTTCTTAGTTTTTTTAAATATAGCATTAATGAGTTACATCATAATAATATCTTGACTGCGAAGTTGTAGCATTGTCAAGCGTATGATATTCCGGATCCGTATAAGGAAATATTCCAGGTGCTTTTAGGCCAATAGCAAAGATCATTAAGTTACTAACGTATCGTAAAACAAATAGGCCCATTTCAATTTGATCTGTCAATCTGAAAATAAAATGATATATAGATAAACTTAAAAACCTTATTAAAAGCTTGTTTTTGGAATTATTATACTTACGAATTTAAATGAAACCACCATTCGAGTTTTCCAATATTAACAAAAACAAGATTTTCAGCAACAAGTGCTAAAGTCCAAAATCCCAATAAAACAAGACCATGGCCACGAGGCGGTACGCTTGGTAATAAATTATTTCTTTCTACTCTCAGTATATGAACGGAATATGGATACATAATTACTGTTAATACTGTTGTAAGTATCTATAAATCCAATGGTATAACACAATAATATTATATATATATATGGAAGAAAATAATAGGATAATTTATAATTTACCATGTATCCATAAATTTTCTTATCATCCAAAATAGTTGCTTGTAAAATTAATCTCAATATGCTAAGTAATGGAACTAGATAGAGAAACAATTTTTGTAAATTGTATAGCCTACTCCTTGGTAATACATTTGCATTCATTTCTGTTCCATACTTGTGATACATCCATAGTTGAATTGTCCCAAATATCATCAGATACAAAAAAATGATGCTTGTACTTATTGTATCCATAAAACATTTAGACATACCATGTTCAATCCAAATTTCAGTAAAACTGATATTTGGTGGACAATACGTTATTGCGATAGCCATAATAGAAGATTTAATTTTCTTCTTTGACTTTTGAAAAGATTACTTCAAATATTATTCTCTTAATTTTGTCATTTACATTATTTTTTACTACCTAGAAAATATTATTAAATAATTAGGTTAAATTCTTTATCTTCTATAAATTAATCATAGAAACAATATTACATCATAATAATCCTCCGAATATTAATTAACATTATATTATTTTATAATACTATATTATAACTTATTTACTCGATTTAAAGATAAAAAATGAATTTAAGTAATAATAGAGTACCAAAAAAATAATAATTATATGACTCTCTTCCACGCATTTAATAGGATAAATAGCTCAACGTCGATCAATTCTTCATTCATTCTAAACAACACGTTGGAAAAATGTCTTTATTCCTTTTGATTGATTTTCTTTTTTTTCTCCTTTCCAATATTTTTATTAAAGTAATGTGTATTAGAATACTTACACGCAAAATTAACAAGCGTGTTTTTTTGATAGTCACCGTGCGTGACGTCACAAAATACAGGGATCACGCGCCTATTGAGGGATTTAAATTCTCACTTACGATTGGTCGTTGTTTCAAGTCTAAGATTGGTTCGTTTCTTTGGATGCTTGAACAAAATTATTTTCAAAAATGTAGGAATTATAATCAAGATTTTTATCAAAACAATTACAACAAACTGTTTTATTTTAAATATATATAATAAACTATTTTATTATTTTATAAATTGCCGGATTAAAGATTTTTCTTTAAAAGCAACAAGGTTACAATACATTTCATAAATATACGAACTGATTCTGACGAAAAATAAAGTTCTCCATTATATACGTTAGCTCTCCTTTTCATAATTATAATATAATTACTTTATCAATACTTTTGGAGTTTACTCCTTAAGAATCAATTTTCATATAAATCGCCCGGTATGAAAAAAATATGAAGAKTAAAATTTAGTGATCGAATGACCTCATTACGTTACGACGGTCGATATTTTCAAAGCAGAAAACTACTATTACCGATATGGTGTCGGCCTGCCACTAGTGGCTTTAGCGAATATTTTTTCCAGGTCGATGCACCACTATAGTGGCTCACTCGAGTAGCTTACATACTCACAGTTTGAATTAAATTATCGTCTTTATAGTCATTCATATTTAAGTGAAATGTTAAAGTTTAAGTATGTACAATATATTTTTAAGAAAAATTATAATTTAATCATTAAGGAATCTTTACGTAAAACATAAGAGCTTTCTTTATATACGGTAACTGTTTCATATCAGACTTCGTATTAACTTCTATTATATTTTATTATTATTATTATATCGCGATAGTTGTCCATAATCCTTCTGAAGAAGATATACATAAAAAATAAAGCGAATAAAAAGATGTTAATCAGTCAGGGCTAACAGCTTATTTTAAATAGCACAATCATCAACTTTTTGTGCTTAGGTGTTTTGTGATTGTAAAAAAGACTATACTATATTTTTATACAGTTTAGAATAAGAAGCCCCCAACTTTAAATGTATTTAAAATGATGAAACGTTTCTATACAAACTTTTTATGAAACATTTTTCGTGTGCTATTATAAACAATGAATTCTAAAAGTGATTCAATTAAGATTTTGCAAACGTAAATAAAAATAATAATACAGATGCAGGAACTATTGTTTATGCATCTTATATTAAATTATTCACTTTCTGAAGCACTTTGAGCACTACCGCTACCAGAAGCGCTACCACTTGCACTCGGAGACCTTGATTTTGAATGAGATCGTGACCTCGATCGTGACCTAGATCGTGACCTCGATCTAGACTTTGAGGTCGACCGTGATTTTGACCGCGATTTTGACCGTGATTTTGACCGCGATTTCGATGGGGATTTCGATCGCGATTTAGCAGGAGAACCAGATCGAGATCTTGATGCTGATTTTGACTTCGATCGTGATCTTGACCGAGAAGAATTTCTTGATTGAGGGGATTCAGATCTTGATTTAGATCTGCTACGCGATTTAGACGGAGATCGTGACTCTGATCGCGATTTGGAACGAGATGAAGATTTGGATGGTGAACGGGAACGAGAACGAGAACGAGACTGGGACCGGGATCGGGAACGAGACCGAGACCGAGACCGAGAACGGGAACGGGAACGAGAACGGGAACGGGACTTGGATCTTGAAGGAGATTTAGAACGAGATTTAGAACGAGATTTAGATCGCGATGGAGAACGAGATCTTTTGCTGGAAGCACGAGAGGATGGCCTGGATGATGCACGCGAATTACTTTCATTTTCAGAGTCAGCTAAAAAAAAAGAACAATAATGAGAATCGGATCAAGATTGCAGATATGTGTATATTGATATCCTAATGCGAAGTTGTTACCTTTCTCTTCTGCTTTTTCAGTTTCTTGTTGCATTTCTTCTTCCTCCTCTTCTTCTTCCTCTTCCTCGTCTTCGTCTTCCTCTCCTGGGGGTTCCAATTGTTTTTCTCTATATCTCTGCATTTTGAATTCATTGGCATTTAATGGTCGATGACGTACAATTAATCGCGTATTATTTGGCTGTTGACCAGCTTTTTGCCTGCGTTTACTGAGTCGTACACGAGTTTCCAATTCATTATAGTAGACCTGAAATGATGAATAAATCAATGAAATAAATAATAATTATCAATAATTTAATAGAAATACTTAATAGTAAGGACGTACTCCATCTTGTCGCATAACGAGGAAATAATTTTCTTCGTATCCCTTAGATGCTTTGCTTTTAACATTCCAATTATATTCTCTAGCCATCTTATATTCGTATTCTTCTTCGTCCGCGTAATCAATATTAGCAGTAAAATCTCTTCTTCGTTTTTCTAAAGTTTCTTCTAAAGGTAAGAAGTATGCTACGAATTGTTCGCCGCTCTCGTCCATGACACCCCTGTTAACACCATGAAATGATACATTACGAAGATTCATTAAACATGAATCAAATATTAATTACGTGAGGACAGAAATAATTATACCGAATCATTGCTTGGGACATCTCTTCTATTTGAGCAGGAACGGAACGTCCAGTTGGCGCAGGGTCGGAATCAAATATTACTTGAGCGCAAGGATATTTCCATAACTATAAAAATACAAATACCACGATTATATATTATTCCAAGAAAAATTGAGGAATAATCGTCCTTTTTATGTTCTAGTAGTAATAGTAGATACCTTGAAATCTGGATATACAGGTAAAATTTCAATGGGTACAACGTTTGGTTTGCTGTAATGTTTATCGATTGTTTTCTTATTATCCTCAAATGTTTTCTCAATAGCTTTTATTTGACTTTCTCTGTCCATATATAACGTTTCCTCTTTGAAATTTTTCTTAATACTATAACCAACTTTAGCTTCAACTTTGTCAACCGTTTGCGGTTGAAATCTAGTTTGTTCGGTAGAAATATATTCGGTTCGTCTAAGCCAAGAAACGCTTCTGGCATGATGTCTAGATCTTTTAGAATCTTGCGGCGTAAGAACATCTTCTTCGAGAAGTTTCTCATCTGCAGGATCTAATTGTCCATTAACGTCTCCTGCATAGGTATCTTTGTTAATAAGATCTATTTCAACGCCTAAATCATGTTCCGTTAAAACTTCATATTTGTAATTACGTTCCAATGATGTTGGATTATATTGAATAAACCTTGATCAAAAGAATACATTTGTCATTGTTACGCAGGCTCATTTAATAAATGCACAAGCCTTCAACATTCGATACATACCGAGTCGATTCGAATGGATATGTGATAAACTTAGGGTCAAATGGAATATCGGGCAGTGAATTACAAAATTTAACTCTGCATATTAATTCAGACCTATAATAAAAAGTAAAATGCAATTGATAACAGATTGCGATTTTTAATATATAACATATAAATATTTGAGGTTAGATTTTATACCTTTTTTCTACTGGTCTTGTTGTACGTTTGTCTCTTTCAGATGTACTTCCATTAGTCTGAATTGTCGGAGCCATGTTCGAACAAATGTAAAGTTAAACACAGTTTCAAGAAATTCCTAGTTGTCCATCAAATGCTGAATGAAAAATGAAGACATAAACACGTGCATTTCTCTTGAAACGTTTGACGGCGAACAAAACATAAGTTGTCACATAAATAGTAGTGTAAACTAGAACTACTTTATACTGTAAAGTATAAAACTATAAAGTAAAAAAAGCCTCTAGTAACTGTTGAACGATAGATTGCATAACTTTTTAATCAAATTCTTTGCGTTCACTTACAATTAGAATGAAATTTCACATCGTTTTGACCACGAAGCCTATATATAAAGCTTCGTTGTTTTGACGTAAGAACAAACGGAATCCTTTCGGAGTTCGCATCCATTACAATCGAAGCGCCATCTTTAAATCTACACAGTTATTATAGTTTTCGGTATTTCTAACGAAGGTAAAGTAGTTAATATTGTTTAAATATTTATAACAAATTTTCACAATTGGAATTAAAAAATAAAAACACAAATATAATTAATATTTTATTTCTTTAATGAACAAATGTTTTATTCATGAAAACTTGAACTTTAATAATCATAAATTATCATGACAATCATATTACTTTTAATATTTTTACTTTTTTCTTTATTTAGTATAATACTTATGCTATTTAAAAAATTAAAAATACTTACAATGAATACTGCATTAAGGTTTACATATTTATATACATATGATCAAACATGTTTTGTTACATCATTCAAAATCAGTCAAAGTCAGAATTAATATAAATCGTTTTTTGCTGAATATTTAAAATCTAGTGATAACACTTACATTTTCTATAAAACTATCTTCTACGAATCCTTGATTGTCAACGCCATTCTTTCTGATATCGTCTAATCGTTTGAATACTGTTTTTTCGTTAGATTTTGTATTATTTACAGTATTTACACATTCTGAAGTTTCTAGATACATCGTTTTAATATTTTCAACGCTTGGAGTAATTGGTAAAACAGGTATCTCTTTATCCAACTTTGGCCAATTGGGATCATTATTCAATTCATACTGTACTTTTAAATATTGTTTGTTTGATTTTTCCGGTCGATAGATTTTTGAAATTAATTTCTTCTCTATTCCATATTCAATTATTAAAGTTTCAATAACTAAACATATAACAAAATTTGTAAAAGCAAGTATTAAAATTATAATTCTCCAATTATAATCAGGGGGTAGGAGTAATTGTAATAAGTTGATTACCCATTTTGCAGGATAAACTGTAATATATGCGCAAACGAAAATTAAAAGAATGATAGAAAATGTAAATATACCATTTGTATAAATAGGTTGTCTATATGGTTTACCACGTGAAAATATTATTGCCATTGTAATATATTGAAACATAGATAAACAGAATACCGAATAATTTTCATAGCACATATATCCAGTTGTACTAGTATGAACAAAAGGTGTAAACCAAGGAAAATACCGTACAGTATGATATGCAATAGCTTGAAAAATTGTCATTATTAACATATGCACCGTTAAAGACAATAGCGGTGTGAAACTCAAAAGACTCGTCATTGGCGGATTCTTAGCAAGTTTTTTCTCATATGCTTGCGTTTTTCCAAAAAAGAAAGCGAAATTGACAATCAAACAAATATCGATAAACAAAAATTCCAAATCTGTTAAATTAGAATCTATTGAATATAAAATAATAACAGATAAGAATTCTGTCAGGGAGTATGTTACCATAAATTTAAATATTCCAAATGACGTGACTAAAGCCGCTCGTCCTTGTCGTATAACTTTAGGAATGCAAGTTATGTCAGGTATCCTTGAAGTAAAGGGACTGGCCACGCTAAAAAAGACCAAAAGGATGAAAACAAGAAAAGAGGATGGAAAAAACAAACACAATCTGTTTTTATTGAATTCAATTCTTACCTCGATTCTGCTTCCGAAAGAGATACACCTGCGTGAGCAGCTCTTAATGCTCCGCAATCGTTTGCTCCATCTCCGCACATAACTGTGAAGTACGAACGTAGGAAAGAATCGATAATAATTGTAATAATTGCGATTATACGCATAGTTAATACGTACCCACGTAATAACCAAGTTGCATTAATTCTAAAACCAATTGTTGTTTTTGATCACTCGTCATTCTTGCGAATATTGCACCCTTCACGCATATTTTCGGCACGATGTCGGAATAATATTCTTTTAGTAATTGCCATGTTTGGCCGGTCAAAGCAAATCTATAATTTTGTATATTCATCCCTTGTTCCGTATCGTCTAACAATGGTATCATAAGCTTTTTGCTTTGAAGACTCTGAAAGAAATAACTGGCGAATAAAATCATTCAAAGTAAAACGATTTCATAATATTTATCAATTTTATATTTACCAATTGTTGAGTTATACTTTGTGCATTGAAAAATAGTTCTGGTTTGGATTTGGTAAATTGATTTGGTACTACGATAACGTCTATAACCGTTTCGTGAGGCAAAAGTATACCGCACTCTTTTGCAACGCTTACCGCAGTCTGTATATTATCACCTGTATCAAGCAATAAAAAACACACGGATTATATTCAATTATAAAAAAAAATGTTATACGCAATTAAGAAAATGAAACTACGAATTAGCAACCTGTGATCATAATAACGTGCATATTAGCTTCTCTAAGTTCCTTTATAACTGATACCGTTGGTTCTTTTAATCTATTTTCTAAAATAACTAAACCCAGAAATTCCAAATTTTGTTCGACCTCGTCTCGCGTCATTTTTGATATCTGTAGAAAAAGTTATTTAGCATTAATTTCGTAAAATGAAAATATATATTATACACATGTATATGTTACCTTTGCACCATTCTCAATTATTGTAGACCGGCCCATAGCTATAACACGATAGCCTTGCTCTGTATAAGTTTTCAGAATTGTCATTATGTTTTTTGGTAATGTTTCTGGTTTGCTTAAACTAAATATCATTTCAGGGGATCCTTTGGTATATGCTTTGAAATGTTCAGATCCTAAAATACGTACTATCACAGACATTCGTTGCAACGAACTTGAGAATTGATATTGTTGCAGAATACCAATTTCTAAAATGTTATTCATATTTTCAGTAAAATGATGATTTTTTGGTGGTTTCACTACCGTTGGTGCTACAAGATCATATTTATCCGATTGCGTTGTGTCAGATTCTTCCAGTGTCCATTCGGTACTTTCAAACATCTATAATAGGTTTAATTATAATCATAAGAATGAGAGGGTATTTATAAAAAATAAACTTTTACAAAGAAGAAGGGTGCAGGATTACCTTAACGTCCAATGGATCCCCACAAAGTTCGCCATTAATAATATTTAAACTGTGGCATACCAACATACCCTCAAAAAGAGGATGATGCTGCAGTTTGGCCACATTCTTCTCCGATTCTTCAAAGTTACCGTTTGTACATGGTACAACACCCCACATATCTAAGCCATCCTCTGTCAGCGTTCCAGTCTGTACAAGTAGATGAAAGTAAAGAAGAAATGTGATATTTCATAGTCTCCAAATCTGCAGATTAATGATCTTTTAACGAAATATTAATTACTCTTTTCATAACATTCTTACCTTATCGAAACATACGCAATTAATGCTGCCAGAAACATTAATAACCCTGCTGTTGATACAATAGATTTGTGCCCGTTTTAATCTTGCTTGTGCATACAATTTTCCTACTGTCATTGCAGCCGGTAATGCCGGAGGAACAACTATCGTAATTATATCTAAAGCTTTAATTGCAATGTCACCCGCTGTAATTCCTCTCGATGCCTAGAATTAAAATTATTTAAAAATAACTTTATAGTCCTTATAAGGAATTGACAGGTTCATAATCGCTGAATTGTTCATTTACCTTGGTAACGACTGTATATATAAAGCCACAAATTGCAACACACGCTAGTATTCCAATGAATTTGTACGAATCTTGATCAAATTTGAAGTCCGCTGGTGGCGGATACAATATAGCCGCGACCAATGAACCTCTGTTTGTTTGTAGACCTGTCCTGATGACTCTCGCAAGAACTGGATTATTCCCATAGCATCTGCGATATAAAAAAAAACAATTCATCAAGATATATTTATTCATTATAATCTACAATCTTGTACGTTTTCGTTCACCCACGTTGTACGTACCTTGTTTGAATGATAGTAGTTCCACTGTATAATGTATGATGAGAGCATTGTTTTGAATCGTATGGCACTTGATTCGATGGCAATGGTGTTTTTGTAACTGGTACAGACTCACCTGATCGGATAAGAAATATATTTCTTTAGTCGATAATAATCATCATACACACAAATCAATTTTTAATGAAATATAATATATTCACCAGTTAGCATAGATTCATTTATTATACATTGTCCAGTTAGTAATACCGCATCGCACACAACCGTTCCATGGTGGTTTGGTAATTCTATAATATCACCTGGTACTAATTCGTTACTCGAAACGCTTTCAAATACCCCAGAACTTCGATATATTTTAACATTTTCGAAAGAGGCCACGGTTCCTTTAAGATTCAGTTGATTCTAACGTATATAGAAATGGTATTGAAATGAATAAAAAGTATAATCGGATAATCGGTAATTGTTATCTACTTACTTTACGTGTTTGTAATATAGAACTTGTAATTCCAAAAACGGACATGCAAATTATAGCCATGGTGTAATAAAGGTATTCTTCGGCAAACCATACTGCCAGAGTAAATACTTGAAAGATATAAAATGGATTTAAAACTTCTAGTAACAATAATATACCAATACTTTGTACTGGTACAACAATTTCATTGTTTCCATAGATGATTCGCCTGTATGATAAAGTTGAAATCAAGAAATGGCAATCTTTTGTAAAAGTAGAATTATATAATAAGCAATTAATAAAATTATATATGTAATTATATATACGTAATTATATATATGTAATTATATATATGTAATTATATATATGTAATTATATATGTAAATACCTTAGAAATTGTTCTTCTTTCGAAAGTCCCTTATCTCGATCAAGGTGTAGGTCCGAACACAATGTATATTTGTCAAGACCAACGAGCTTAGAAAATGCATTCCTAGTAACGTCCCAAATATAACACTGCTTTTTACACCAAAATGCTCTATATTCTGTTACTTTTGATTTTGTACCATTTTCTAAACGAAGTTTAAGTTTTTCATTCTTGACACTTTCGACCAAATTGATATCATTGCTTCCCAAAATCGAGCTGAATGATTTATCGCTAAAAAAATGTATCGTCTAATAAAATAAAATATTACATAATCGTAACGATAACAATTGAAATATGATCATTCATTTTTTTCTCCTCGTATTAAAAATAAATAATAATATATTATTATAATAAAGAATTTCTCGTTACGCGCGCGATGTTCGTTCTTAAGCAATTGAAATTTAACTGACCTCAAATTTTCAGTAGATATTGTCTTAACGTTCTTCACAAAATAGGATTTATATCTTCCTTGATAGTCATCCTGCATGTATATAGAATTATTGTTATTTTACGTACATTTTTATTATCTATTGAGAGAAAAATAATGAGCCAAGGCTTACGTGTTACTTAAGAGATTTGATTTGTTTGTAAAGATAATAACACTTACGATCACGAGCAATTTGGTGGCTTCCTTTAAAGGACATTTCCTATGTGTTGCATACAAGTATAATCGCGGATACCAATGGAAAAGGAGTCTTACGAAACCGACAGTTAATATATAAGAAATGTAAATTACAATCGTTTTTAATGTACTCCTTTGAAATCCGTATACTTGCTGTAATAATATATATAATAATATATTTTAAATAGGAGATATATATATCGTTGGTTTAATCGAATAATAGAAAAGAAGAAAGATAATCTTACTATATCCTCATCTTGGCTAGTTTGGATCTTTTGACAGTCTATTATCGACTGATCGTCCTTCTTCGTGGCTAGGATATAAAATGAGCAAGTACTTATTTTGGATTACAATTGAAATCATAAAAACTTAATCAAATCTACGTGTATCTTGAGATAGGAAGAAATAAAAGAAATAAGTCATAATATACGCGATATAAATTCTTATTACGGTTTTTATTTGTAAATGGCACGGATCTTTCGTTAACATTTTGTCGTTATCTTGTTTGATACGATACTACGTTATGTCAATCAACATGAAGAATATTTTACCATAGTATAACAGCAACGAGCTTTGGTAATGGATTTCGTTATTTGTCATGATAATACTAACAATTATCTGATTTTGTAAAAGGAAGAACGCTTTGTTCTTTTTATTGTATATTTGTATTTGAAAATAGTTCATTAACTTACCATTTGAATCACTCATAATCGTTTCAAGATCGTTTACTTAAATGTGGTTAGTATATTCTGTTGTATTAGAAATATTCGCTTTTTCAGGACACAGTAGTCGTCAGCTTAGAAAATTTGTCCTTTCCTTTGTACTGCACTAAAAATAATGTTCAAGTATATTCAATTGTTATAATACTTGTCATATTTTTGAATATTTTCTATTGAATTCTTTAGGAATTTCTTCATAGAGAATTTTTACAATTTGCTCATATTATACAATAATCTTGAGAAAACATGAATTCTCTAATAATTGAAGAAATTCAAAGGTAATTCGCGTAAGTCAAGACACACGATGACCTTTTCCTTGAAAAATCATTTTAAAGCGGAAGTGACGTGAAGATAAATCATGGTCGTGTACGATTACGTTGACCGTGCACTTGAATTACACACAGTTAGTACAATCGTTGCACAGTCAAATAACGAAATAATTTATAATTTAAATAACATTACTCAAAGAGTCATTCGTTTTCTACACATTTTCTTTTAAGTTAAACAAACGATAATTTTTGTTACGCATATACGAGGAATATACATATATATATATATATATATATACACGATATATACGAGGAAAGAAAGAACTCGACAAGAAAATAAGTAGGTGCGATAAGTGGGAAATGATACAATATATTGTTACATATTCGCGTTTCCATACGTCACAATTGAATTCCAAGTATTCTTATAATGAATTCTCGTGAACATAGACGAATGAAAAACTAACAATTGATAGAACAACTACAATATTATTATATATACAATAAATATTAGAAATACTTAATCGATCGAATTGAAATAAAAAGGAAATTGGTCAAATTGAAAGTGTATACAAAAAGTTGAAAGTCCGTATAAAAAATGTTCCAGAAAATAAAGAAAAATAAAAAAAGAAACGATTAAGGAAATTTACATTTCAAATTGATGCAAATTTATAGGCATCTCGTTTAATAGCATCGTAAAATCTTGTTTATCTCACAATAAAATCGAATATAACTAGAGAGAAGTATTCGGCGTTTAAATAAGATAAGATCGAAAAATATTTCATTTTCGTCGGAGCGTTATTCGAGAAAAAAAAAAAAGGTAGGAATTTCGACAAGTTGACAAGGCTGACAAGCAGGTAATATATTTGAAATTGTTAATACGCTTACGAAATATATCCTTCGAAAAGTTAGCCTGTTGTTCGACCGGTCGTTTGATATATGTAGATACACGTATAGATGGGACACGTAAGACCGATGTCAGATAACGATTTATATTCCACAAATACTACAATATATTCTTCAAGGCCATCATTTTATTCGGTTTAACTTTTATTGTTTCTGTCAAAGAGATTAGCCATATGGAAATATTTGGACAGATAAAGTATTGACATAAATATTTTTTCCGTTCTTTTTTCTACAAATAATTATTCAAGAAACGCAAACAAAAGAGGAAAAGAAAGAGAACAAAGTAGATACTACTTAATGGCTTATGGTTTTACTGTTAACGAGGTATCACGTGTGTTGACATTATTCTTAATATCACGTCAAACTACGTTTAAAAATAATAATAAAAACTCACGAGAACGAAACGTGATGTTTCGTTTGTCGTATTTTGTATCGATATTAATTACTTTTTTTTTGTCTATCCGCGCATTTAATTTCAAAGACATAATAACGATGTTTTATTTGATGCGACACGACAACCGATTAGTTTGCAAGTTAGTTTACTTATGCAACACTCTTTTGATCCTCGTCCTCGAAGTCATTGTAGAAAAAAAAAATTTTAATGCTTATAGGAGCAATAAAAATTGCAATGTAAAGCGTGGCAGATTATTATATTCTTTGAAAATACAAATTCGGTATATTTAATAAGACATTAACTTTCCCCTTATCCTACCCGCTAACTCACGATTGCTCAAGCAATAATAATAATTATATGTAATTAAAGTAAGAAAATATCAAGAACAACACTGAACCACGATTCTCTTGTTTACTTTTAATCTGAACGAAGTACCACGAATCAGGCTCGTGTTTACTGTTTATGGCCTAAATTTTTTACCACGAGTATCACTCGTTGTTGTAGGACAAACGTTTAACAGACAATTTTCTATAATAAGCGCAACATAATTACGCGAATATTTTATTGCGATATACTATATAAGCAGCAATTATAGAACGATTCTAAAGAAATTACGCTGACGAATAGATCAGATAGACGTTTTTGCAACAAAAAAAAAAGGTAATTTAAATTACTTCATTTATAATTAAATGTAAATGTAAATGTAAATAATTAGAATTGCATAATCAGATACTATACATTTAATGCTACTTTCAATTTCATTATATATTTATTTATCTATCTATATATATATATAATAAACTATAACGATATTCCAATATAAAAAATAATTATTTAACAAGTGTGACAGCGTCAATTGAAAAAGAAAAGAAAAGAAAAGAAAAAAAAGAAAGAATTTCTTAATGTTTAATTCGATCGATAAAAAGAACATTATCTTGCAATTAGTTCTACAACTTTGATCATAAAATAACTATTTATCGTCATTCGCGTAGCGATCACAATTTTTGCTATGATTTTATTTTTACGGGCGACTGAAAATACGAGCAAAAGGAAAAGAAAAAAAAACCCAAAAAAAAAAAGAAAAAGAAAAAGGGAAAAGAAGATAAGAAAAAAGAAGATAAGAAAAAAAGAAAAAGAAACAAGAAAAAGAACTTTATTCCAGTATCACCATGCGACCCTCGTCATCCTCGAAGGATAAAAATAAAGGATAAAAGAAGGAAAGTTGAACTCACCCAGCTTGCTTGTATCTTTTCTCGAGGCAAAAATAATTGCACTTTCTTCTTTTTAGATGAGCGTCCGCGCTTCGCGCGCGGATCTGGACATAGCCGAGATGTCTTTGGATTAATTTTCGTTTTTTGATTTACAACGTATTCCTTGGAAATATTGGAACAACGATTAATGTTATCCACGATTCTATTTATTTCTTTTTTTTATTTTTGGAGGGAACAATTCAAGATGGCACGTTAGTTAAAAAGAAAAACAACAACAACAGAAAAATATAAAGGAGAAAATAACGAAAGGCAGGTAAAGAAGCGTTTAACGTTTTTAAAGAATGAAAATAAAAAATAAACGCGTTCGAATTGCGCAAAAAATGATATATGGTATTATTATACTGAATAAATTCGATAAGTAACTCGTTTAACGTTTGTTCTAATATAAACCAATTTTATATAATATCATTTGTTACGTTTTTTATTCAGAAAAAAGAAACAAAATAACACGAAATCATGACTCCAGTCCAGTTGACGTAAAACCTGCGCACACCTGCTTTGCGTTAAACCCAAACGAGCACTGCGGCTAAAGGCGTGATATTTCAAACTGTTCGACTCTTACGCTGTCATCTCGAATTTCCCCCGCCCCTTTCGCTCAGAGCCCCCCTCCCCATTATCGCCACCATACACGCGCTTCTTTCCCCCGTATTAAATTATTTACACTATCTAACGTGTTAATATATGCTGTCACAATTATAGGTATATTTTTTAAATTATTCCTTTTTTTCTTTCTCTTTTTATTCACTTCAGATAAACACCCCCCCCCCCCTATTCATATTTCCAAATAAATATTTTCGAAGGAACAAGACGTGCCGGTTATAATTCGAAACTAGAAATCAAGTATAATAATCCGCGAATAATAATCCACGAAATGATTAATCGAACTTTTTTAGTTGAATTCATTATCGTTGGAGGAGAAAATATTTGGCTGTGGCTAGAAAAAAGAAAGAAGACAAAAAATAATGAACAAATCTATTGCGTAGAAATCTGGCACGCTTGTCGTTTCGCAATAATCCGGTTAAAGCGGGAATTGGAAAGGTAACGCAAGGTATTTTACTTAAACTACTGAGAAAATTTCACACTTATATGCGAATGAAATGGGAATGGGAAGAGGAGGAGGAGGAGGGGGGGGGGCAGAACATCATTTACATAATTGGATTTCTATCTATTTATTTCCATTTCATATTTTGGAATCTCTCGTTTGAAGAATTATTTATTATGCCAGCGGTACGATGGTAATCAGTTCGAATAGACTTCATTGAAATGAACTGTACCCAATGATATATATGGAAGACTGATAAAAAACCGCATAATACCGGATACGTTAAGATTCAAATAACATTATTTTTATTAGGACTTTAGTTATCTGTACGCCATTCGAATGGTAATAGGGTCTACTATTTTTTATAATTTGATAAACTAAATTTCCTAATTAGATAATAAATTGAATTTAAATAACGTTGCTTAACTATCATTTATAGATTATTCGATTCAGATAAATGACATTTACACGGACTCTATATATGCATATATATCTCTTGTATATGAGAAGATTTGTTGTTTGTATGAATGTCCTTACACGTTGATTTACATTTGTTTCTTCATTTACCGTCCTCCGAGCGTGTACTGAAGTTCCTGAAAAACTTTCCACAATTTTCTCGGTAAAGGTCACCTCAAGGTCAACGTATTGAACATCGTTGGGCTCGTGTTTTTATAAGCTATTAGAATATTGTAGTAAAAGTATGCAGTGCCATTTAAAAAAAATACAATGACATTGATATCTCGAAAAAAATGACCTTGGAAAAAAAATTCGGCCCGTCACTATATCGGCACCTTCGAACAGAATATATTTTTCCTCTGACATTTTTTTTCTATCATACGAAACAAACGAGATATTTTAGATGGTCGAGTTAGGCGAAACGCTCTGTATAATAATATATTCGATTATACCATATATTTACGTATCACCTAAAATATTCTCGGAAACTTCAAACCAGTTTTATCATTTTGTTTGATTATTTTGTTTCTCTTTTGTCGGTGGGGAAGCTGGTGGGAGTTGGGGGGGGGGGTTTGGGTAGAAGCGTGTTCTTCAGAATGATGTTCGCGCGTTAATCAAATTAGACGTTTAACTTGAAAGGAGAAAAGAAAACAAAAAGGTGACGAAGCCAAACATCTCGTATAGAAAATGAAGCATGCAAACTTGTTTAATATTATCACGTAGCAATATTTTACATCCTTTTTTTCTTTAATTCTTATTTACATCCTATCCACGTACATGTCCGACGGTAGCATTAAACTAATTTAAGAGATTATTGAAGACTACGGGTCTTTAATCAATTATAATTCATTGCGAAACGCGTATACAAATAAACGTAATCCACGTTCACCGAAATTCTTCGATCATTCTTTAATTATTGCTAAATATACAGCTGATAAAAAATGCATGTTTATTATTGCAAGATGTCTAACATTCTTCGAAGATAATCTCTCGGAGATTACGAGCTATTATAACGTTGCATTATTTTCCCTCTTTCACTTTCGCAATGTTATTATTTATAATCCTATTTTTATCTCATTCGAATCAAATTCTTCGTAATAGTTTTTCAATGAATAATTATATATATAAAGGAAAAACGTCATTGACTGTTACCATCGTGTACGCGTCATACACCCTATTGCATTTCCTGGTTGGTTCCATAGAATTTGGTATATGTGTGTAAGACGCGTCGATGTAATATCAATTGTATACGATCAAAATAACATATAAATTAATAAATGTATATATAGCATATGTATATATATATATATATATATATATATATATATGTATATATATAGCATATATGTATCATCAAAGTATCATGAAAGATCACGCGTACACGCGTGAAATATGAGTATGCGTATGTAATTTAGTGTTATGTGCTGTTCACGTGTCACGGACAAGTAGAAAAGAGAAAATGATCGGAGACCGTTGCACGGCAAGCCTTAATTATCAATACCTGCTGTCTATGGTATGGCGACCTATTTAGCAAAACTTTACGTCATCGGTAAACTTGTGTATAAATATATATGTATATATATATACATTTATTTGTATACATTCTATATATATATATATATATATATAT